ATTAAATGGGCAAAACATTTCCTCATTTTTAAATGCATTTTTTTCGATTTTCTAGTTTTATTGCTGAATACCAAGCCCAAATAAAGCCTCGAAGTACTGAGGGAGGAGGCTTGGGTAAAGGATCTGTGGCTGGCATTGTGGTCACGGTATTGGTGATTGAGATTGTTGCAGTATCCGCGTTCGTCTGGCGCCGTTATAAGGGCTTTACCTTATGCAGGAAAAGCGAGGAATGTTCGACCAATTCTCTCTCTAATGGCCATGGTTATCAAGCAATTGTTGTCAGTGAAGAGGCAAGGGTCTAATTTCAGCGGTCCATAAAGCACGGGTAATAAAAAGCCTTTGAAAGGTCTAATCGTCTAGTTAACACAGTTTTTAATTTTTTCCATAAAAAAGAATTTGATTCGTGAAGTCAGATTGTTTAAGCGTTTTACACTTTGTATCGCGAGTTCTCAGTTACCTTAATATTACACCTGTAAACAATAAATTTCGTAGATAGAAAATACTTTTTGGAGAAAATCTCAAAAAGAACAAAATGGCTCCTTGGAATGGGGGTAGAGCTTTTTTGATACGCATAGCCATATTTTCCACTGTTGTTTATTTTCAACAAATCATGTTCGTCTGTAATAAACACCATCAAGTTCATTTAATTAACTGAATTGTTTAAGTTAATTAGTAACATCGTGAAAAGATTTTCGCGAGAGCGGATTCGCCCCGACGAACAGCTGCCACTGGAAACGTCAGCGGTTAAATCGTTTAGATCGTAACTTGACTTTCGCGACTCAGTCGATAAAACGAAAAAAAAAACAATTTTTCAGTTGTGTTTCACTCTCCCATAGCAGGCACCAAAGTCTCCTTCTGAGGCCAATTCGCGCTTTCCGAGTGAGCGGAGGAGACTTGGAACCGAGCGGAAAGTCTCCCGACAAGCTTGACAGGTGACGTCACATTCAAAATCGCCGAGGACGAGGACGACTGGAAACGAGGCTGGCAGCACCACAAACTGCACCACATCTGCATGTAAAACTTACTCCTCCATTCATTCGTAATAAAAGAAACTTTACAATGCGACGTTTCGCAGAATGTCCTTGGGGGTGCAATAAGCACCAGTAATCACATGACATTATTGTTTCTATTCTTTTTCTCAACGTCGGGGTCCTCGAAAGGGGGAGGAACGTAGAATGTAAAAGCTTTTAAGCAGCCAATTTCTCGTGAACATGAAATCATGCAAAATGATTAATGATATGTTTTTTTTTTATAACGAGCTGAAATTGTGTTGGGACACGCTCATGAGAAATCTCTGCGGAACCCTGAACAAACCTTTTTTGGAATGCATTGACAGAAGACGAAAGGGTCCCAGCCAAACAATGACATGTTTTTGGGAATAAAAATGTTTTAGATTGACAAAATCCTCGCTGTCACACTGGAAGAAGGTGTCAACTTATGAAATACAACTTCATTAAACTGACTGAAAAACTGATTAGGCCATTTCCGAGTTCCAAAAACCGTTACCTTGAAAACGAGGCTATGTGCAAAACCTTTCTTGCGAAAATGAGTTTTATTTGAATAAGAATAAAAATCGTTTTCATACAAATGGCTTCGCACTTAGCCTCGTCTTGAAACAGAGGCTTAAGGCAACTCGGAAATGTTCTATTTGCTTTCGAAAGAGATTCAATCGCTGACTTTTCGAGCGTCAGCCTGTTGGCTGATGACTCGCTCTGATGAAGGGCTGGCACTCGAACCTTCAGCTTTGAATTTCTTTACGAACAGAAGTTTTCTTTATTAACTTAGTTGAACAAATTGACTTTTTTTTACCCTCGCCCCCTTCGATATTCTTCGTTTTGTTGTGTTTTCCGTTTTTTGTTTAAAGAAATTTACATAAAGAGCTTAGTTCCCAAGGGAGGAAAACGGTTTTGTTCTTATCAGCTAAGATGGCCGCCGTGAAGACAGGTCTTCAATGTAAGTGAGAGGGAAAGGAATTAGTTTGGAGAATAGAAACGAGCCTTGTCTGCCTCTTATAAAAGATACCCTGGGAACGAGCTGGACTTAGAGTTAAACTTATCTTGTACCCAGATCTCTCACGGCCAATTTTGACCATTAGTCATGTTGAGATCGGGGTCCGAGATCAAAGTCAAAGAAAATGACCCGAACGAGAGGGACCAACTCTAGGTGTCCGTTTTTGGGAAGTGTCTGTCTTAGATGCGTCAAGGAAGAGAGATTTGACTGTCCTAAGGTATATACTCCAGTGTCTCATAGAGTGAGAAATTATAGGTGACATAAGACTCAATGTGTGATCAGAGTGACGTTAGCCGTTGTTTCAGTTTACAGTCAACTATTGCTTTGCCGACAGCCCGCTATCTCGGACAGCAGCAAAATTCCTAGTCTGCTACACAGCCGTTTTTAGTGTCGTCACACAACGCTCCTCCCCACTGGAGGAGCATTGCGTGACGACACTAAAAACGGCTGTGTAGCAGACTACAAAATTCCCAGCAAAACTAACGGTCATTTGACTGAACCCAATCTCCCGTTATTACGGACTTTTTTCGCTATTACAGACCTACAATCTTGGACAAGACGGACGCCGTGAGGCATCTTTTAACATTCAGACATGAATAAAGTATTTTATCCTTTTTTATAGTTGCTTTTGCCCTTTTTTTCCGATTCTCCTGTTGCTCATCAATCGAAGTTGTTGTGAATGTATATACCTATTACTCCTTTGGCTGTCCAATGCAAATGTTATACAGTGAAACCTCTATTAAGCGGACACCTTCGGGACCTTCCCAAGTGTCCGCTTAATAAGGGTTGTTAAAATTGCGCAATGCTTTTTAAGGATCAACATTCAACGGTTACTCTGTACTGTGATAAAGTTGCATGTTGTCAAAGAAGTTATCCAGAGTTCAAGTTCATTACCTTTCATTACAAACTTTAATTTGTTTCTAAATGTAAAAACACTAACTGACTTCAGTCCATAGTTCAAGGACGTAATCCAATAATACTATTGTCAATTCAGTTCGGTGTCCGCTTAATAGAGGTTTTTAACGATAGAAATCAGCCAAATACAACTTATTTTAGTGTTCGCGTCCCCTTAATACAGGTGTCCGCTGAATAGGGGTTCGTTATAAAGGGAAATATCAGACGTTCGTTTCGGGACCCGGCTTAGTGTCCGCTTAATAGAGGTCTCACTGTATGTGGAATTCAGATGTTATATTTACTGTACACGGCCATTACGAAGTCTTGCTACTAAGGGTACTTATTTGCGTCCTGAAGGATGTCGCACCCCCAATAACGGGACTTTACTCTACCTAAAACCCGTAATCTCTCCAAGCCCCGGTTGTTAAAACGTTGGATAGCACTATCCACCGGCTATATTACTATCCAGCGGATGGGAAACCAATTGCGTTACCCACTAGATAGAGATTTATCCAGTGGATAGTGTTATTCACTTTTAGCTTTCTTGCGGCCAGACGAGTTATTTTGGGTTCTACTGAATCAGAGATGCCAACCTCTGGAGATCTAAATCTGAGGACTCTCTCTTTTCCATTACCGCCCCCTCGAAATTCAATGAACCCCCACCCCTCCCCCTCCCCAACCCCGACAAATGTGGGAATGTGGGACATTATTTGAAGTCTTACATGAAGAACATGCTACCAAAATTCGCGATCATCGTTTTAATTTGACGCCAGAAATAATCTTTGTTAGTGACTAAACAGGTGCAAAAATGCCCCAGAAAGCGTACTACGAATAAGAAAATGTCAAGTTTTGAGCTGAAATAGGCTAAATCTCAAACTAAGGCACAGAACAGCTCAAAAGATGATTTTATCCGGGAGATATGGTGACCCGTACGGGAGACCGGGAGACTTGGTATGTATGCTGTATTACGCTTTTTTTCATCATTGTAGTCGAAACAAACAAAAATCAACATCATCTAACTGACACTCCTGCCCGGGAGGGGGGGGGGGGTACTCGATATATCCTTGGGTGGGGAGGTGCGGCTCGGCCCCTAATACCCTGACCCTGTTTAAGACAAAAACCGCTGATTTAGTTCCTACCCTGTTTAAGACAGAATCCCGATTTTTGACACCCAGTTTAAGACATTCGTAGAACATACGCGCAGGCTGTTTATCGTCTAAGAACAGGGTTAAGTGTTATGGGTTCCTTTCTAACAAAAAATACCCTGTTTAAGACAAAAATTGATAAAATCGATACCCTGTTTTAGACAAAAATCCCGAAAAACATACCCTGGCTGGCCGCACGTCCCCATTAAGCCCTTATAAGGGAGTACCCCCCCTCCCCGGGCACTCATGCCCATAGGTACCATGATCAATCTGACTGTCGTCTCGATTCCTCTTGCTGTCAATATGTCTCTTAGTCATTTGTTCCCCAAAAGGCACAAGTTAGATTTAAGTGTTCGGTAGGGACTTGAGCAATCTATTTCAGCTTTACAGCTTTAGATAGTTCGTCTTGAAGTATGGGCTAACATGCACACATATTTATACCGAGACGTTAATTACTATAGACCTTTTTAGCTTGTATGCTTTGTTTTCCCATTGCAGACCATGTGATGTTACCTCAGAGACTGTTCCTTTCAAATGTTGCGCTATAAACGCGCACATGCACGCATAACTTACTGCGCTTTTCAAAAACACGCGAACTCCGAATTTCAAAAGCCAACTGACGTTTGCAGTGCGTTTTTTGCTGCCGCCAATCATCTTATCGGACCTCTTAGGAAACAGAACTTTACTTATACCGGCTCAAAAGGTCATGGTTTGTGAGCTGTGATTGGTAGATTTCGATCCGTTTTGGGTTTCTGTTTTTTTTTCGTCTGTTGCTTATGGTCGTAATTATGATTGACGGCAGCGAAAAACGCAATTCTGAAGGCGGCTTGTGAACTTTAGAGTTCGCGTGTTTGTGAAAAACGCGGGAAAAGAACGTGACGTGGTCTAAACTGGGAAAATAAGACCTTAGAGCTAATAGGGTAGGTCGCATGGCTTGCAATCACGTGACAAGGCAGCTGTGTTGGCAGACAAAGGAAACGATTCTGTTCTTGTCCACCAGCATGGCCGCCATGAAGTTAGTCAACCGAGATGGTACAAAAGTACGAAGCTTTTGTAGTCCAGACTAAATAAAAACGGCCACTAATCACATTTTCTTCCATTTCTCCATTTATTTGTTTTAAACTTAAAAATCAAGAGCTACAGTAATGAGCAAGAAAAACTAGCGAGTGCGCCAAAAAAGCTGCAGTTATCTCTCACCGAAGATGGCCTCATAAGCGCCTTTCTCCTACTGTTCACCTCTTTCAGGAGTTACGGTTCAGTCAATGTAGATGCAAATGGCTTCTTTTTATCGCCATTCTCAATGAGACAGACCATCATGTTCAAGGGAAAACTGGAAAAGGCAAGCGAAGAGTTGTTCACGGTGAGTGTTGCCAAAAAAGTGATTGATGATTTTTTATCATTTTTTTTGTTGACAAATTAAATACATTAACAATCAGTTGGCCATTTCTAGCGTATTCCGTCTCGATTACCCTTTAGGCCTTCACGATTAACGACGCTAACCAAATACGAGATATAGAACTTACTCAAAGAGGCAGCAGAACCGTTGGAGAAAAAGCATGAAAATTTATCCGCAACCGTTTGTGAATTAAAATTTTCAGCACAGAAACGTCAGCTTCTCTATATAAATTCTGATCTTTCTGCATTTCACAAAAATCAAAAGCTGAAGACTGACTCTAAAACTCCATAGTGACTTCAGTCTCAGAGTTCAATTACAGGCTTAATGTGTGTCCTCTTTTTATAGATACTATTATAATTCATGTAACCGACGAGCAAGAGCAAGCGTAGCTTATCAATTCAACTCTCTGATTTGACTGATTTCAGTGCAATCCCAACCTGGGGTGAGTTGTTCGTAGACTGGGTAATCCTCTTCATTCCAGAGCTGTGGATGTGGAGTCTTGTGAGGCGGTTCTAATTTTTGAGTCTGTGGACAAAACCCTTTGATGTAACTAATCAAATAATCGTTTTGGGCAGTACTTTCAAGCAGGAAAATTTGTTTTCCAGCGTTTTACAAAATAGATAAAACGAATTTCTCGCTTGAAAGTTCATAAATCAGTCGTTTTACTTATTTTTATTCCGATTTTTTGAAAACCCCAATGGAACATGACATTTATTTATTTACTCTCACTTTTGCTTTTCAGCTGAAGCTATATTTTCAATCATCCTTACAACAACTTTAGTCTATGTTAACACCATACCGGTAGGTTTTTTTAACCGACACGACAAGCTTTCCGGTATGATATTAATACCTTTCCACTTTAGAGATCGGCGAGGCGCAGCTTCCCTCCTTTGAGGTAATGTTACACGAAACGATTCGCAACGACGATTTATTTTTATCGCAACACAGCGTTGCAGCATTGTTCCGACATTGGTTCGAATGGTTACAACATTGTTCAAACACTGTAGCGCTGTTTTGTACTAAAAATCGTCGTGGCGAATCGTCCCGTGTAACATGGTCTGCCACACAGCCGTTTTTAGAGTCGTCACGCAAGCGGGGAGGAGCGTTGCGTGACGACACTAAAAACGGCTGTGTAGCAGACTACGTGTAACATCACCTTTACTGAAATCGCGCCCAAATCACCTTTCTCATTTGTGATTAGAAGCCTATATTCGGTATGGTTTTCGTGCCGGCGTAAAAGCTGTCCGGTAAAGTGTGAACATAGCCTTAGTCGCGGACTGATCAACACTGCACTGTATCTATCTAAACCATGTTGTTATTTTTTAGAGGTGGAACAGCTACCACCGGCATGTGTGCATGATGCACACAGTATTCACTGACGCTACCAAAGAACTTTCGATGAATCTTTCCCACGCCGCGAGCTCCAACCACCAGTAAATGCGCTTTTTCATCTGTCGCGAGTTTACAGATAACTTCCCCAGGGCTGTTGCTTCTTTCATTGTACAGTTTGTAATTTATCTGCAAGTTAAAAAGCAGTACAGCCGTTATGTTACTGATTTTGCCCCTCGCAATTCAAATGCATAATTGACTTCGAGTAGTCCTTGCGTAGTCCTATTATTCTGCACGGCCTATGCGTTTCGGGTCACGTTTTCCGAGTGAGTATCGCAGCCTTTCGTCTCGGATACGTCACCGAAATACATTGACTGAGAAGGCCTTGGAAGACGCCGTTCATGGACCAGGTAAAAAGAGTCCCTAAGGTGAGCGAAAAAAATACGCGAACGCGCGTGAAAGTCGCTGCTCGCGAGAAAGGTTACACGTGTGGGGAAGAGTGGGGATTTCTCTCTTTCCTCCACGGCGTTCCTTTGATCCTGTCATCGTGCAGAGCGATTTTCACGCGCGCGCACGCATGTTTTGCTCACTGAACTATCTTTCAGGGAAATGAGGGACTACTCGTAGTCTAATTTCAAATGCCTCTGCTACGAGCAAATAATTTCTTAAGTCTGGACAACACACAATCGTCTCGATCGCGAAGTCGTCTCAACTTGTGATTAGACGATCAAGACTGTAATATAAAAACGTCTTACGCGACACTTGACGATCCGCGCGATTTGGACATTGACAGAGACAGACAGAGATAGCGTGGGAAGTTTGTAACGTGCAATTGGCGGGAAAAGCTGCTACGGAACCTGTTGAGATCACGTCTAAGACCTCTAAAAACGAGAACCTGAATCGGGGTGTAGATCTAACGCTGAGTGAACGATCATTGATTACTTAATACGAATTAACCGGAAGTGCTATCGTCAGTAAATATCTAGAATATAACAAAGAGTGGACTGAAGTTAACACTGAAACATGCGAAGAGATATACTGGAAAAGAAGAATAACTATTTGAACTCGTGCACGTTTTTTGTGCAAGATCACGGTTCTGTGGTTCACAGGAACAAGACGCCTGATCACAACATCAAAAAAATGTCCCAGGGTAAAGAAAACTCCTTAAAATACAAAACAGATTCCAGACTCCAAAACACAATGACCAGACCTTCTGACTAGTTGCTTACAGGACTGAGGATTCTGTGACGTGATGCGGATTATGGTACGTGTCTTCGATCCTGGGAAGAGTTTTGGATTCTTCTATGTTTTAGATTCTGTCAAGTGTTTCAATATCTAAGACGTGCTGTGGATTAAGGGAAGCCTGTTTTGGATTCTTGGGCCCGTTTCTCGAAAGTCTCGGTAACTTTTCGGGCCCGAAATCAAATACTCAAATCGAAATATAAAGAGTTAGAGCGCGGGTCCTGCAAGCAATTTTGTTTCATTAACTAATAGTTTTATCAAAACTATTGAAACCTCTATCTTGCATGTAAACAACAACAGCTTTACGCGCCCGTTAATTACTCGGGACTTTCGAGAACCCCTGGAAAGCAGTTGTTGTTCACATTGAAGATCGAGGTTTCATGAGTTTTGCAGATAATATGATAAAACTATCAGTTAACAAAACAAAATAGTCCCGCGATTTTATTTTTTTATATTTTGATTGGAATATTTGATTTAGGGCCGGAAAAGTAACTGGGACTTTCGAGAAACGGACCTGGGAGATGTTTCGTTCTTACAACTACGGTGACGTAGAATCAAAGACTTAAGACGCACAATAACATTTTCAAAGTTTCTTCCTTTGGTGACGTCTTTGTGCAGGTCATATTAAAAGGAAAGGATTGCCGCAACAAGATGAAACTGTACCAACCCCACGTTCTCTGCATTTCTCTCCGTAAGCCTCCAACAGCGCCCTCGAGTTTTTAGCAACTTTTTCCAGCGACTGCTGCCACTCCTCGTAATACCAATAATCATCTGAAAGAGGGACACAGCATCCGTAAATCACAGAAATTACGAAGGGAAATATTTACGCAGTCTATTCTGTCTATTCTAAAATTCGTTGTTTGAAACACAAGGTGACCAATCACAGTAGGGTGCACGAGTGTACGTCAGTGAAGGTTTTTTTTGGCAAAATGCAAATTCAGATTCTTGAATCCAAAAATGGATTGTGCGTTTCTTTTCTAAAATGTAAAACTTTTGTTTAAATTTTAAGAATCCTGGGTGTTCCATTGATGTCATTTTTCATACAATTTGGAGTTAAAAATAAACGCGTTTATACTTACACGAGGCGTATGGTGCAGCTGAGTGGGTTGGAATCTCTTGTGCATGGATAATAAGCAAAATGTCTTTCACATTATCAGAAATATTGTTAACGTACCCTGAAAGAAAGTGAAAAAATGAACAAGGAATAAGCTTTTAAGAAGCAAAATAGTGAAAAGTTAAGGTGCAAGACCACTGCAATAAAACAGTGCGCAATCAACCTTGATCAACGTCGCAGATCAAAACAAAATCGCGATCAGTCAAAATTAATAACATTATTGTCAAAAAGACAACTGGAGGACTCCTCAAACATCGTGAATGGACTGTAGTTACGATATTTCACCCGACCAATACCAGTCTTCATCAGGTTTATTTGGGAGATCACGAATTTAAAGAAATCAGCATATGGCAGTACTACAATGTTTACAGAAATATATGTGTAGCACTACAATGTTTACAGAAATATACAGCTATTTCGAGAAAGGTTGTCGGAAAAAGTGCACGCGACAATATCGAAAGGAATTGTGGGTGGTTTTGAGTTCACTAATTTTCGAAGAAATCTGAAAAAATGACACGAGAGGCCACGGACGTATATTTGCGAGTGCTAAAAGAAAATAACAAAAGTAGTTTCCACAGCTACAGTGTCAGGAACAGTGTAATGATCATATCCCAGATTACGTTTCGGTACTGTCGCGTGCAAGTTTTTTCCAAAAACCTTTCTCGAAATACTGTAGCTGTACAGTATACGTAGTACTACAATGGACGGAAGAAACGTCGTATGGTGTTTCTACTTTTTTAAAAAACATAAGAAGCGTTTAGATAGCAGTGTTCTCTGAAACGTTTAAACAAGGAATGGAAAAAATTGAAAAGGTGACAACAGAGTAGGTCCAAAGTCGTGATGCCTTTCACTGGCAGGAAAAGGGGGGGGGGGGGGAAAGGTATAAGAGAAGGGCGCCCCTCTTCCGCGGCATTGGGTAATATTAATCACACTGTATTTCCCGTCGTAGTCGTGCAGAGGGACGCCAAAAGAAATGTACCAAAAAAGTTTGATACACGAGCAGAGTTGTTGTTTTGATTGTTAAACCCTGTATTGCTTTTTCAGTGATGTACGAATCGTTGGACGTCGCTGTCGCCGTCATCACCTTGGAATATGTTTACTCGTGATCATAATATCCTTTTGAAAAGTCTCTTGTGATTTTGAAATTCAGTGGAACGAACCAAATTAAATTAGGTCATTAATTTGTTTTAAGTGCATAGTTGATATGGTCAAATAGGCCAGTGCAGACCTCTTTTGCCGTAAGGTTTATACTTCCAACATTTGCAGAGGGAAAGATAAAACACGATGTGTACACGTGAACGCGATGTGCTACACGTAAACCTGCATGTTTCTTCTCTTCCGGTCTGATTCTATCACCACAGTACAGTATGCCATATACTAAGTATCGTTGCTACCTGACCCTTTGTCCACCACATATCCATAAAGTAGATAGATAGAAATAAGGATTATTAAATGAGTAACGAGATAATGGCATAATATCGCTTCCCCGAAAAATTAAAAGTTTAAATATTTTTGCTATTTTCTCCCTCTCTATAGGCTCAGATCATAATATCATAGTCGCGGGGGAAGGGAAGCTTTGAGTACCTCCCGACTAGATGCATTGCTTAGAAGATGGAGAAGCAGTTCACCCCCAAAACATTTTTAGAAATAACAGACATGAGGCAGACATGAGAGCTAAACTTTATACATGGTACATTTCATCCATTTTTATTCACTCCATGAGCAAAAGTTGCTTCGCACATGGCTCTATAAGCGTACGTGGCTTGGGTCACGAACGTGCCTTTGAAGAACGTATTGCCTTTATTACAAATTTTTTTAAACATAATTTGCACATAGTCGTCGTTTAGCTATCAAGATAATTGTATTTCGCTATGGAAAATATAAGCCTACATTTCTGGTACTAATCTCACTAATTTAAAACTTAAGAGAAGAAAAAAATTGAAATTACGTCACGAAGGTCACGGGTGAAAAGCGTATCTACAGAGTTGTTTGTAGTTTGTTTGTAGCTTGTGTTAGTTTGTTTCTCGCCTTATGGCATGAAGAAGCAAGAGATTATTCCAGCGTGCAAACGTTCTGTGTACGTCCGAGCCCAAAAAGTAACGAAATTTTTACAAGCTTTCTTTAAAAGTGGAATAAGATCTATTTTTTTCCTTTAGATTATAGTTACGTACTTACAGTCAAAAGCTCGTTCGCTGTGTTCGCTGTCATCCACTCCGAGTACAACTCTCCTCTGTAATTCGCTATCAGGCCTCATTGTGAGTACGTGGCCAGAAAACGAATGAACCAGTGGAAGGATAAGCGAAACTGTGAGAGACGAAAATGCCGCTGCGTTTAAAAAGTCACGCAACTGTGTGATTGGTGCGTGATCTTTCTTAACGCGCACGTGGACATGGTTAATGTTGTGACGTCATAGACCAAAAAAAGTTCTACTCCATGAGTATTTCCACGTTTCTATCAATTCAAGAGCCATGTTCATGATCAATTCTAATTTCACAGTTCGTTTCTAGAAATTCTCTTTACGGAGACGCAGAAGCAAGTTGAATTTTCAAACAAAAAAGCCATCCAATTCGTTCGAAGTTTTTGTAAACGATGAAAATGATGTGAGAGGTTGAACACTCAGATGGTGATGGGGAGAAAACAACTTCAAAAGACAGGCCAAAAAAATAATAATAAAATAGACAAATTGGACAGGCGATGCTTTGTATTTGCCTTGATTGCTAAAACAGAGCTCACAGCTCGTGATAACATGCGACTCGTAAGCTGTAAAGGCCTATGGCGTGAGTTCACGCAAGAAACCCAGCCCCGCTCAACATGACTTCCCCATGATGTCTGATTGCTCAGGTAAAATTTTTTTAAAAAAACGGTTTTTAATTTCTGGCTTAGTCTTTTTTGAGTGAAGACCTTACCCAGGAATGTTTTTTTCTTTTTCAGTTTATGTAACAAATTTCTCATTGGAAAGTTCAGGAATTAGTCGCTTTTTTGTTTTGCGTTGGTTGTGAAATTTTTTTTCATTGTATACCCTGAATGACATTTGTTAGCAGTATTCCTATAAAAAACGATAGTTTTTGAGCTCAAACTATATTTTAAGCTACTTTTATTATCTCTTTAAATGTTGTTACAGAAGCTGCAATCAAAGTATACGGAAAATAAAGACCCCCTCTTTCCAAATCAAGGTGGAATTCAACTTTGTTCCGCAGTGCCTTTCTCTTCACTTTGTTTCCCCAAGGCTCTGAGGTCGAGGTATTCGAAGAGTGTAGGGTCAAAGATACTGAATTCAGTGATTTTGTTTGTTTTAGTTAAATCTTTTTTTTTAGAACCTCTAACCTATTTTACCGGGGAGAATACAAAATAGTGTATGGGACTAATAACCGTGTAACACTCTGTTCGATAGCTTTATTTTGTTAGTGCAGCATTCTATATATATATGTTTGTGGCTTCTACCCTTTTCAAAGGTCGAACTTCACATGTGCCGAATTTAATATAATGCTTATGTGGGACATTAATTGTTTCTCGCTGGCCGTGTACCTGTAGTCGTTATGCGTTTTTAGTTAGACTAGTACCCAGCCGCTTCTTGTCTTCCCGCTATGGAAAGATTTTAAGGAGTTCTCTTTCCTACCGAAACACCTGTGCGGGCATAAACGCCCGCCCAGTCACTGCCAACGGGCAGCAGGAATAACTGAGTGACTACTGTGTGCGATTCCGGTTTTAAGTGATGGGAGAATGGAGAAACACGACGAATTGTCGATCATCAATATTGTAATTATTGTCATTTTTAACATTATCCAGTTTAATATTCCAACCAAATCAAGGAAACCAGAAATATCAATCAAATATAGCCCATTATATTTGTCTCGTAAAGCTCTTTGGGGTCGTTGAATATTGGCGTCGTAGGTGCGCATGCGTCGTCCATATTTGAGACTCCGAGAGTTTCTCGGGAGCGTGGAGAGGGTGGGGGGACAACTGAGATTGGCACATCAGAGTGATGTGTACAAAAATAACTGATACTCCCAGCGAGGGTGCGGCTGATGGGGTCTCGTCCTCGGGAACCCATCACAATGTGATCCGCGCTTTTTTCTTTGGCTAATCGGAGGATAGCTTCTCCTGGGCTGTCAGACTCCGTAAACATTCTGCACTTTATCTGAAACAAGACAAAAAGAGCAGCTCTATTAAAATTAAAAATGGAGTAAGTTCAGTCAATTTTATAGTTATATTCAAACCTGTTGAACCAACTAAAAGAAAATTTCGGAAAAATAATTTACGACAATTTTGCGATTTAAAATACCCTGTATAGTTACCCTCTCTGGCGAAATGGTAAGAGCAGCATTCACCTCCCATCTCGGACCCATGCTTTCCTGCGCAGCACACAGTGTTTTGGTGTGGTTTTAGTTTGTGACTTGTACGTTTAATGAGAAAAGGAAGGGTAATGCACTTAATTTGTCAATTTATTTAGCACTAAAGCTAATTGAGGACTCTTCTTGGGGACGGGATCGTCATTTTACGTGGTCATCCGACTAAGCAAAGATCTCATAGCCGTTTGTATGGTACTGAAAGGCACCCTGGGGGGGGGGGGAAATCCGCATATGAAAGGGGTGGGGATGCTCGTCATCTCGCTTAGGGGTGTAAATTTCGGATTTTGGTCTCACTTAGGGTGTTCTGGGCAAAAAGCCATCATATTAAGCCGTTAAGGTCTCGTTTAGGGTTGCACGCGAAATAATATATATATTGTCAGGAGCCCATCATTTGATGGGCTCCTGATATTGTCTGTGTTTAACATGATCTCTTTTAGGAGCTCAAAAAAAGCTTGGGCCACGCCCAGATCGGTCTCAAAATTTCCGACGAGCATCCTCACCCCTTTCATATGCGGAGTCCCCCCCCGCCGGGAAAAGCAGTACCTTTATTTCTCAGTTATTTTTTTTCCGACTTTGCTACACTTATACACACGAACCTCTTAAAAAATGCTGCATTTCAAACACGGTCCTACGACCAATAGAGATGATTACCTTATCACACTGATTACATCTTCCTACGTGAAAGAAATTTGGGGAACATGGCTGTGGGTGGATTTGCAAAACTGTGCATAGTACCTGAGATAAAGGCCTCGTTCACACGTATCCGTTTTTGTTTGAAAACAGAGATATTTTCTCTCCAGTTTGGAATACCGTCCACACGGTAAAAAACGGTCATCGAAAACGCATCTTTTGAAAAACGCTCTCCAGAGTGGATATTTCTGAAAATGCCATTTTGCTGCACTCGCGCGTGTGGATGGGTGAGAAGGAAGGGTTCTGAAAACAACTACTTCTTGATGTTGGAAACCAGTTATTGCGCATGCTTCCATCAAAGATGGTACTGTTTACAACAGTCATCATATATTGCCTTATCTGTGGACGGGCAGAAACGATTAAAAAAACGCAACGTGTAAACGCGAATTATTGAAAACGGAGAAAAACGGATACGTGTGAACAGGGCCAAAATCTTGGCTACGACTCTGAACTTTTGGTGGATTCTTTTGTAACATACGCGTATTACCGTTGCATTGGCCCGTACGAAGTTTTCATTGTTGAAAAGCTTGAAAGCAATAACATGCAATGAGGAGGGAAAATGTGCCGGCTATATGGGTATGCTGCAAATGAATCCACCCATGAATGTCAGTCTTGGGCGGGAAAAAGGTAAAGATAAAATAAACTTACGTTTCTGTCTTTGCACTTTTTGAAGTATGATTGAAGAATGCGTTCAGATTCAGCAGAACTTTCCTTAACTGCTTCCTTCCAGCCATGCGGAAATGGACAACCATCTGCGAACAAAAAAACATGTTAGTATACCGCATACCGCGTGTTTTAAAAGGAACGTGTCGTGGCTGCTTCTCGCTATAGAACTCAAGGATAGCGAAGAAATTACTTAGTCAATGGCAAAATCATAGCTTCGTGTCAAACAAATACGTTTCTTAAGCATTCTTTTAAAGTGCCTATAACCCATAGCCAGTACCTTTCTTTTTAAGAAGTAGGAACATATAACATGCAAAAACAAGCAATAGAATGGGATTTGAGCTCAATCTCGATTTTTAACAAGCGATCAAAATCCCGGTTCGCGAAGTAAAAAACGCGCCTTATGGGGGACTGGGCCGAGTAGCCTGCGACGTCAACACGGTATCTCGGCGACAACATGTACCGCGTTGACGTCACAAGCATTTAGTGCCCAGTATCTCAATCACTCCTTTTTGAATAAATATGGCGGGAAATCAGCCTCAAATTTCCGAAAAAGTGTGTTGAACGCAAAGTAACTTTTATTTCTTCGCAGAAATTCTTTAAACTACATAAATGTTCGAAATTTTAACTTTACAGGTGATAGTAGGAGCCCATCATGGGCTCCTGGTGATAGGCACTTTAAATCTGAAAAACAAAAATGACGATCTTGCCATTTACTATGAAAGTTTAATGAGAAGCCTAAGAACTAAGGCCTTAGAAACGATAGAAATTGTAAAAGCGACTCGAAACAATCTCAAAGACAACGTTCAAGTGACAAGGGCGAGGCTGAAGATTGATAATTAAACCAATAAAGGAAACCAGTCTCTGGGGATCGCTCAAATTTTACAGTTTATAACCCATAAAAGATATTACTCAACCACCAGCTATACATTTCATTGGGTACCGTTAAAGAATTTGTTATTGACAGCTTACTCCTGAGCTCAAACATTCCACCCTGAATTCCCCTTACCCCCAAAACGGGTCCACAAGCATTACTGCCTTTTTCGTCTTTTTCACCTGCGAGTCCCCCGTACTTTTCAGGGGGGAGGGGGATATTGCATTTCATATCCATTTTTCCTCCCATAATTACTTAGCTAATCTAGTTCTTCAATTTACCTAACTATCGTTCAGCAGTTTTTTTCAGCACGGTCCAAAAATTGAAAATACTTTGATAACGTCGTGTCATGTGTGGGACTGGAAAATAAGCTCTAAATGTACGTAACTTACACGAATATGGCGCGGTGGTTTGTGGCAAGTCATTTGCATTCAGCAGAATCACCTCGTTGCCACATTGGTGCATATTGTTACAGTACCCTAAAGATATGAAAAAAGTTATTTTATAACTTAAGACAGCAGATGTAAAGAAGACAGTTTTCCTTCAACTCTTGGGATTTTCTGCGTGCAAGTCCTTGAGCGAGTCACTTCAAGCAGACACAATAAGTATTCTAGTGGGCCAGCTTGTTTTTTCCCCTACCCCAACCACCTTGCCATTATAAGTCCATCCTCTTCCGATCCCTCCCTAGACCTGCCCTCCGCAACTCCCATAATTCTATCTTTTCAATCTGAAAAAATAATGGTCCTCTCCTCCAAATCCCTGAAAATTACCGTTGTATGGAGGAAAATGGCAATTACATTTGTTTATCTACTGTAGTTTATATATGGACAAGTTTCATCAACAAAGCTAAAATTAAATCTACTTTTAATGCCACTCTTGACACCCTTCGGGAAATTTCCTATTGTAGAAATCTAGGTTGGTGATCAAGATGGTTGTTTTTACTCGGTTGACATTAAGCGTTTGTGCTAAAATTTCGGTTTTAGATGCTCAGAAAAAAGAGGAATATTTCGATTTTTGGCGCTTGCCCAATCGGTGGTTTTGGAGCGCATAGATCAGTTGTGAAAAATAGGTTTTATCACGGTATAGATATCAAATCACACTTACATTGAAATGCTCGTTCGCTTCTCTCACTGCCATCTACGGGTATTAAAACTGTTTTTCCCTTTTCTTCGTTTTGAGAATTAGTCGACATTTTGTAAACGGCAAAGGGCAAGAAAAGCAAACTGGGATTCCGTGCCAGGAGATATTGGTGCTCTTCACTTGAAAGCTGTAATCATAGCAGGGGTCACTGAAGAACTTTGTCACGCAACGAACTGAGCGTGACAGATATATCCTGATTTGTCAAAAGCGCCGAAAAACTGTCACTTTTAACACAACACTTGTCCTGGGTATAGTTTCGTTGGCTGATTTTCGATAATTTCAGCCGATAATTTTCACGCCATAAATAAGTTGAGGGCGACCAGGCCGATGTGCCCAGACCGGTTTTCATACCCTTATAAATGGTCGGGTTTTTAATGGTATGAGTCGCATAACCTGGTGATCGTGGAACTCTACCTCACTTGGTCTTGAAATCTATTTTAACATTAACACAACTTTGCTGCTGTTAGTGAAGGGCTGTCAGAAAATATGTTCGTGACTTTGCGCACGGACCACGAATCAATCACCAGAACGAGGTTCGCGTTCCACTCGCGAAAACTGTGTTCGTGTCGTACGTCACGACGGCTGCAAAAGTACCAACACATTCATCCTTCTTCGTACACTAAAAAGTTCTCAATATGACAGAGGAGAAACAGGGGAAAAAGAGGACTGTTTTGGTTGCTGTAGACGGAAGTGAACACAGTGAAAGAGCTTTTGATTGTAAGTACGAATACTTTCGTGACTCAATGTGTCTTTCCGACACCTCGCCGGTCCCAGGTGACCCAAGTGATTTTCACTTATTTACACTTTTCGTCTCTGTTTGATATCACCAACTAGAAGTGGACAAAGATGTTTAAGGTATTATATGTGACACTGTACAGGCCTTGATATTAAAGCTTGCCTTACGAATTTCATGAGTCTGGCACAATTTTCTTGATGTTGGCTTATGTAATGAGATGTAATGAGGAAGCTTAACCTTACTTTCATGTAAGACGTGAGTTTTATAGGCTTATCCATATTTCTCTCTCTCCTTCTTTTTTCTTGACTTACCATCAGTTTGAGGTTAAGTCACAAATTGAATAGCACCAGAAGAGCCAAATTCTGAATTTTGAGGGGTTTTTTGGTCACTTTGAAGAAGCTGGCGTTCGAGAAGTTTTTACTCAGTCTCCGAGTTTGTACTCAACGGGAGACCGGAGTTGTGCGGAAATGCAACACGACTTTTCTGGTCGTTCCAATGGAAAGTGTCCGAAAGATACGGGACGTCTAAAAATGTAAACCCCTTTTAGCCGGGGAGAAATTCATAATTATATACCAAATTGAAACGCCATCTTTGAGGCTTTTGACCGGGGGTACACCTGGGAATTCTAGGTAGGGGTATGCCGCCCGGTTGTCCAGATCCTGACCCTATTTCAGACTAAATAATGTCGTCTTCCACACCCATTTTAAATTGGGGGAATGGTTTACATTATACTCGCCTATATAGCTAACACTAGATTACTGGCTTCAAAGCACCATTTTTTGATATTATTGATATTCCATCATAACTTTGCAGTTTCATTATAAGTATGGTGTAACTTTTCTCGTTGGCAAATTTAATGGACTGCTGCATCTCTTACCAGGGTATACCAAGAACTTTTACAAGAAGGATGATGAGATATTGGTGTTTCATTCTCATGAACACCCTTCAATGCCTGCTGCTCCATATCCTTGTAAGATTTTTTAATTGTATCAGTTTTTTTGCAGATTTTTTTTGCTGTAAGGCCATCCTCTTTTTTTTCCCCGTTTAGCATCATCTGATCAACCCAAAGTTGTGGCATTTTCAAAAAAAAAAAAGTTATGATGTAGTTAAACCACTTTTCACTTGAAATAATTCTTTTAATCTGAAACATCAGCATAGTAACAGCATAGAGAAAAACAGGAATAAAAACAGGAACATTTTTTACAGTATATTGTGCATTTTGTTAATCCAAATATGTGAATGTTATCATTTAATGTCATCCTGGGGTACCAGGGCCTGGTATTCTGAGACTTGTGTTGTTTTTTCTTAGATTTCTTTTTTTTTCAATCCGACCGACCCAACATCAGGAGACACATTCGACGTTAAATGAAAAAAAAGGGGAGGATGGCCTAAATGCTTTTTAAATTCCTACTCCTGAATTTTTTTTTGAAAAATGTTATCATACATGTGAGCCCACCTATTAAGCCCTCATCCCCTCCCCCCACAGAATACAAACTTGGGCTATCATGTTCTAAATATGTAGACCTTATCAGCTTGAATGTTTTATTCTCCCAACTCAGACCACATGATGTTCTTAATTAGGATAATAGGCCATTTTACAGTTGTGGGCTTAGTGTCCTAGCCTTTGAGGGAATGCGAGGTTGTCAGGTTGCCCCATTTTGACACAATCTTTCGTCCTTTTCTAATTGAAATTGTGCTTAAAAACTATTAGCATAAACACAACATAATTTTACATTTTAAAGTAAGAGGGGTTGTATCAAAACATGGTGAACGCCTGCATCGTTTCCACCTGTAACTGTATAATGGCTATTTTGCCTATTGGGTAAAACTTTCATTTATTTATGCTTGCATATGCACATGGAAAGTGCGACTTTTGAAAGAAACAGTTCTCTGGGGTATCAATCATCACATGGTCTGAAATGGGAAAACAAAACAAACAAACTAAAAAGGTCTAATCCAAACTAAAGCACAGAAAAGCTCAAAAGTTGAGTTTACAGTGGAACCTCGATCTATAACGAAGTCCTCAGTGTAACAAACGATTTTCTTTCACCCCAGTATAAATAAGAAAATATATGGAAAAGTACCTCGATATAACGAAACCTTGTTAATTGTTATAGTGAACAATTTTTGTCAGTCTCTTGTCACGTCGTTATATCAAGGTTCTACTGTATCTGGGAGGTTTGCTGACCCGAGACCAGGAGACGCCCAGATAATCCAGGATAGTTGGCATGTGACTTGTGAGTTCTAGTCTAAGAATCCTCTTGTAAGTGATTAAAAATGATTTCCAAAAATATTGACAGCTTTGGTTTGCTTTTGCAGATGGATTTGATTTTTCTGAAGGATTTAAACAGCATCTTGCAGAAAGTGAGAAAAAGGCCAGGGATCTTTTGGAGTCATACTACAAGAAATGTCAAGAGAGAAGTGTAAGTTCACCACACAGCAATTTAGCTGGGATATTGATAACTGGGTCGCAACTGACTCCCTCCAACCCCTGGATTGGACTGGACTTTTAATTTTATTCCCTCTCAACTTTGGCCATTTGTTTACCCTGAGATGCTTGCCAATTAGAGGGGTATAGAATGGTACCTCAAAAAACGTGGGTCTCGGAAAATTTTGGGCCGATCTCAAAAACCTTGGAAGTATTTTTAATGGGACTCGAAGTCTCGTTTTCGAGTGATTTTTGTGTCTTGGAGTCTCAAACTTTTTTGCCGACAGATCTCAGAGTATCAGATTTTTTCATTTTTTCTTTCCATTTGGTCTTCAGGAGTCAAAATTTGGCGGAGTTCATGGGTCTGAGCTACAGTAGTAGATTAAGACAGTAAAACAAGACAAAGCGGTATTTCGGTGGGCTTCTGCTAGCTTCCATTGCCGTTTTTGGTCTTTACTTGTCCCATTATCTCGAAATTTTCTGTGCTTAGAGTCTCGGGCTCGGAATTGATAAAAATGCTTCAGTCTCTGTCTCAAATTTTGAAACCAGGAGAGAATAATGTACCTCCAATAGTTTTTAATTCAGGACTCTCCTGGTGACCAAAAATAACATTAACAACATATTTTCTACTTATTTTCAGTTGAAATGCAGGCTAATAAAGGAAACTGGCAGTCCAGGAGAAGCTGTCTGTAAGGTTGCCAAGGAGAGGGGCGTTGACCATGTAGTGATGGGGTCCAGGGGATTAGGTACAATAAACCGCGCCCTTGTTGGCAGTGTCAGTGATTACTGTCTTCACCACGCCCATGTACCTGTGTCAGTAGTGCCTCCTCCAAATCGCTTTGAACAGCATGGATATGCCAATCAAAGCTGAGAAATTAGGTCAATGCTGAGAAATTAGGTCAATGTAACTTTCTTGACTTTCTAATAATTTTGTGGATTGATAATCAAGGATTTGAAGGCAAGTGTAATAAAGCTAATAAAGGTGTGGTTTTGATTGAAGAGCCTGGCTTGTGTCATATTAAAAAGCAAAAAGAAAAAGTACAGAAATAGAAGGGTGAGGTCAATATTATATAATATACTTGCCCTTCTGAGCAACCTAACACCCTTATTCACTAACATCTACTTTCTCTCAGCTAATGTTGCTTGCCCGTCATGACTTGTAATAGTGAGCTTTCACAACTGGATGGCAACAGGCTATTACTTGTGTGTCTTGTTGTGATCTTCGCTCTTACTTACTGTGTCAAGGTCCTTTACAAAAAGATTTGTTTAAGGGAAGGTGAACTTATGTCAGCAAAATGTGAAGTGAATCTTTTTGCCTCTAAGGTGATGCATGAAGTTAAATAGCCTGCGAGCAAGTTCTTAAGGCCAGGAGGGAAGGGAAAGGATAGTGGATTAGGTTTGGTTGAGTTAAAGCTTTTTTGGTCCGGTCAAATGACTGTATCCATAGCCATCCAGCATCATTGGATTAACACATCATCCCCATTCAGTTAACTCTTTCAAGTCCCAAGAGTGACTAACAACAATTTTCTCCTAACATTAATTGTCAGTACAAAATCAATAGAAAAGGTTACGAGAATTAATCAAAAGGTCAATAAAGAGAAAATGCTTTGTATATACCATAAAATTCCGAAAATAAGCGCTGGGGCTTATATTTTTCAAAGGCCCTTTTTGAGGGGCTTATATACGGAGGGAAATTTGCGTTTCAAAACCGATTGGGCTAGCCGTATAGTTGGAAGGAAATTTACCGTTTTTGCTTGTTTTTACTTTGTATTTGAGGGCAATTTTCCAAGTACGAGCCCCCGGGGGGCTTATATTTGGAGGGGCGATTTAACGGAGGGTTTTTTGCGTTACCGGTTTGGGGGGCTTATACATGGAGGGGCTTATTTTCGGAATTTTACGGTGTCAAATAAATATTTTTCTCTCGACTAATTCTTTAAGAAAACAAAAGGAAATCAGTTTGGAGAATTTGTATTTGAATATTGGGCCTTAAACGGGTAATCTACGTTTTAAGCTAAAGACACTACATGTAAGTACCTGCCCAAAAAGTTTGGGCAAGCTACAGCATAGTACAGTGTAATATACATAGCAAGAAGATTCTTGTTCAAGTTTGTTTATTCCAAATTAACTCTACTAAAATGCGAAAAAAACAGACAATTATTGCTTCAATTAAATTGACAAGTGGAACTAACAACAAAAATATGGACTATTGTTAATTGGCCAGACCGGAAAATACCATAATATCATGAGAGGCTTAGGCTGGTTCAGGAATTCACAGCAGGCATTTACCCACGGCATTAAAATCCCTCAACCTCAGAGGTTGTTATCTACCTCAGCCTTTAGCCTCTGTGGATAACATCCTCTTTTTCTGCATTATAATTTTTTTACATCCTACTCACCCTCATTCAATAAATTGCAAAAAATAAGGTGACAACACTTTCGTCAGCTGTATGTATTTATTAACAGGTTTTTATGCAGTTTGGTGAACTTGTGCATAAGAAGACATGAATTTTGGAAAAGTACACATACAAGCATCTGATGGGTGCTAAAATTCTCTTGCCAAGCTAAAGCTTCCTAGACGTCCTCTTATGACAGCAGAAATTAAAGAGAAACAGAAAACAAATTTTGAAAAAGAATGAAACAAACAGTGACAGCCCTAAAAAAAAAAATTGGTGTGAATGAGTTAATAGATCTTAAAAAATAACATTTTATTCTTGCTGGAATTTTTGAGTGCGTAGTGCACTTTGGAAAAGAAACAATGAAGACCAACGTGAAAAAAAATAGAGTACGAGTAGCGGCAACTTTAACTGTGATTATTATACATTGTAGTCACCATCTGTCTTCTCATTGGCTAAAAACCAACAGTTAATTCTGGGAAACAGCACAACCTACAGATTATTCACTAATCTGTACCTACAGATTATTCACGTTGCGCATGCAATGCATGATTTCCAAGTGAAAATTTGTTTATCACTCAGTTGTACATTTTTAAGTGTTTGAAAATAAACTGTGATCGCTGCGATAATGTGTTTGTCATTATTTTCTTCAAAACAATGTATAATAAAACAATTATTAGATTCGGTTTTTGTGATATCTGGAATAATCAAGGTCTCGGTTAGTGTTATCAGCCTCAGATAACACTTACCTCGACCTTGATTATTCCGGATATCACAAAAACCTCATCCAACAATTGTTTAATATTCCAAAAGTGTCCTAGTGAAAGTAAGCATGATACACAAGTCAAGTATATCATACAGCACTTATTATAAATAAAACTATTTTGTGGTCTACAGTATTACATGTACGTTCATGTAGACTTGTGGAAATATGCATGAGAATGTAGTTTTAATCTACAGTTGAATCCCCTTTTTTAAAACCTCATTGGAAAAAAATTAAAAGTGGTGTGACACAGCACGCAAAGAAAGTAGTGTCCGATAGCCCAGGGCTTAGAAAAGTGGATTTTGCTATCAGGCTTGTTAATTCTGTTTTTAACTTGCCTGACAGGCAAGTGATGTTTTTTGAGTAATTCAAATAACAGAAGAACTGTGAAATCAATTCTGCTAGTCAAAAAGTTTTGGGGCTAGTTGAAATGACGTCTGGGCTAGTAAATGCTAGCTTCTGCAGCTTGCCCAAATGGCAAGCTGTAAAAATGATTTTCTTTGCACCCTGCGTGACATTCATAGTTTCAGTCAACTTCCTTTTCAATTGCAAGACACACAGAGAGCTTTGTTTTAATGGAAAAGAAAACAGAATGGCCCATAATGATGAGAAATTTCCAGGGAATAAGTAATACCTTCCGATATTATTACCCTTTTCTGCTTTCATTGATAAGCAAAAAAACATTACATGGCATTTCTCACTTCATTACACTTGCAACTTAGCAACTATATATGGCAGCAAAGCCAAGGAAAATGTCACTCTCGTTCTTTTAGAGTGATAATATTTTGTGTAGTTTGTTTTTCATTTTGTTTTCTTTGCCTTATGGCCCTGGGCTACGGATGCCCAGAGTGTTCACTCACAGGAAAGTTTTTAAAATTTTCCAGAGACTTGCATTGTTCACTGCAAAACCTTCAATGTGACCTGATCTGGCATTTTTGTCGTGAGGGGGAAAAACAAAGAAATAAAGAAAAATGTAAACCACATGTGCAAAAGCATGAAGGGCACAGGGGCGGATCCAGGATTTTTTTTTAGGAGGGGGTGCACTCGTCTCTTGCTCTACTTCAACACCAATAAACCACATAGTTTTTTTTTTGCAGAATACCAATTGTATTAGAAAACCGCAGGTCATCTCGGGGGTGGGGGGGGTGCGCACCCCCTGCACCCTCCCCCTAGATCCACCCCTGGTGCATCAACAATAACTTTGTGAGTGGTCTCCCACAAAATGATAACATGGCACAAACATTTTCCAAGGTTTGTCCATATAAAAATGGAAAGGGTTCAAAGTTTCTTTCTTGGCTGGCTGAACAATCCAACAAAGTAGCCGCAAGTCAATATACTGGTAGCTAATTATTCTCTATAATACTTAGATTTCCATTCTAAATTGAACTTCAGTGGGCCAAATGAAGTCATGGCTACGGAGGCACCACTATGACAGGGATAGTTGAATGTCGAACAACATAGTCACTAACGCTCCCAAGTAATGTTCTCCGCAGCTTGCCCAGTCCACGACAGCCCATCACAATACAAGTAGCTTGTTCTTTCTTGATGTAGCTGACTATTACTTCTCCTGCCCGGCCTGTGTCATGAATCAACTTGTACGAGAGTTTATCCTGTTGACAAAGGAACAATCAAGACAAAGTGATGTTGCAACAAATTGACAGTTAATAACTGCTGTTGGATATTTGAATACTCGTTGCAGTATTTATGACCAAACCCTTATTTTTCCCCCACGAAAATTTCCTTGACATGTCACTAAGGTACCATTATGTGAAGAAAACTTGTCCCATAGACTGAAGGGATACTCGCCTACCTGAGCTACCCTGGGCAAACCAACTTTGGAGAACTGTTTACACAAAAACGAAAAGTACATGTAGGCTTTGCTAGAAGGGTGACCCAATAATTGCCCGGGTCACCTTTCTTTGATGGTAAGCTACAATCATGGATGAAAGTGTTGGGACAGTTGTACAGTTCGAATGTTTTTTAACACACACGAAATTGTATCCCCACGCTACTAACACTGCACATCCCTACTCCCTCCCCCCACCCCACAGACAGTGTTGAAACTGTCAAGGTTTTTGTCCAGGACTGTAGGTCACCATCCCAGCTGGGCCAACTTTTCACCAAATAAACACTCTGGCTCACCCAGCCAGGTCAACTCAGTCAAGACAAAACAATCATGGCATGCATAAATACTCTTGACTTTAGGCAAAAGGATCAGTTTTTTTCTCATAAAAATGCTCTCTAAAGATAACTGGGCTGGGATAGCAAGCCTCTTTCAGGACAACTTTTCTCCATGTTAAGGGGGCCTAAGAAAGCTTTCACATTCCATTTGAAAGCAAAGAGATCATTTTTCATGCTCTATTATGTAAACATTAATATAATACCATAAATGCACCGCTGAGGTTCATAAATGTTCAGACCAAAAGCACTCATGGCAATTTTTATAAGCTTGCATTTTCCTTAATTTTTTCTATAGCAAGAAACTTCAATTCAGTAATGAGAAAAATTCAGTCGATTCATTGACCAGAAAATAAGCTTATAATGGACTGTACCCTTTTAAAACCTCAAGTAATGTACAAGCTACATTAATGTTTTTGTACAAATCTTAGAATGTTGCTCTAAGTCAAAAAAAAAAAACAAGAGAGAGAGAGAGAGCTCTAGATGTTTGTTTACAATAATTATAACAAACACAACCTGACTAAAACAAACTTAAGCAGTACATGTATCTTGTGGATCCGAGGCCAGCTACCTTAATTAAGTGAATGGCAAAGTTACTTATAATATTGGCATATTCATTTCTGTCTCTGTACCTTAAGTGCTACAAATTTCTGGTCATACTCTTTGAGCAGGAACCTGGCCTTATCTTGTGCCTTCTGAATTACAACACACCATTCATCATAGCTGTTCTTGAAGTCTACACTTGCTATCAAGGAGAAGACAACAAAAAAATTTACAGATGAACATTTATCTTTAGAACCTGCACCATAAATTATAACCAAAAAATGTTTGTAAACAGTTATGTCTCCTATAGCTAGTTTTACAACTGCACAGAAGTAAAGAACCTTTTGATTTTAGTGAAAAAAATCTTATGATCTAGTGAAAACCAGACTAGACTGCCAGAGTTGCTCTCAGAAGCAGAAAAACTACAGTGTACCTTACAGTATTCATGTACATTTTGTAGGAAATTACATGACATGTAATGCTTGTGTTAATAATTAAGGTATGTGAAATTAACATGACTTAAATAGACCCAAACCGAACAAAATATTACGTCACATGACAGGAAATTAACATCAAAGAGCAAGTAACATTAATTATTTAAAAAGAAAATGGGCATTGGGGTTGGTTAATCTGCTTTTCTCTACATTGATGAGTCAGAAGAGGATATTGGAACTAGAAAATGAAAATATTCTGATCCTTGCAACTCTGACTGATTCTGTCAAGCTAATGACTCTGCTTACATCTACACTGTTTGTACAATTTGTACAACTCAGATTTTTATTTTCACTAGGTTGGAGCAAAAATGCATGTGTGACTGGACTCACTTTTAAGGCTAAAGGGTTTTACTGCTCAAGTCAAGAATAAAGTAATAGAAATACAGTTAAACCTCATTTTATGGACTCCTTGTTATTATGCACATGTTTTCTTTATTTTGTCCTGGGGAAAACCCTTAAATTGTCTCTAAATTCAACCCCCTTAATATAGACACCCATTAATGTGGACAATGAACACTTGTTGCGTGTCCAATCAACAGATTCTCATACAAAGTCAACCTCACTAATGCTGACACCTCATTGTAAACTGTGTTAGCCTAGTGTAATACAGGTAGACCTCTTAAAGGTGAAAAAACCTTCAGTAGACAGCTTGTCGTTATTGCCGGAGCTACAATACACCAGAGAGGATGACTTCAGACTACTAATTTTTGGCATCAAACAAGTTGTGCAGAGAAAGGTTTTGACCAAGTAATATAGAGTTAAACAATTTTTTAGTGTAAATTTTGTTGGATTGTAATCCCGGGGTGTTTACTCTAGGATAGGGTATGTAAATCAGAGCATTTGGGTCTAGAATAGGGTATCATTTTTCAGGAAACTGATCAGTTGGTTGAAGATTTTATCTAGACTAGGGAAACAGCTACTCTAGGATAGGGGGATTTGGGGAGTTTACTCTAGTATAGGGTAGCAAAATTTAGCTGAACTAGCTCTGCTATAGGTTAAGGGTTCCAGGGTCCCAGCGGCACATCCCCACCCAGAAATTCCTAAAGTACCCCCCCCGGGATTGTAATCCTTGGAATGACAGCTTTATGAAGGTTAAAGATGATACTAATTTGTCTTCTTTTATTTCTTTAGTATTTTGTTCTAATAAAAGAATGTTTTTTTTATTTTGATAAAATGAGGTGCTTTATATGGACATCATGTTAATACAAACACTCTCCATATAATTTATGACCCCTTCAGTATCTGTATTAATGGTGTTTGACTGTATATTTGATTAACTTTCAGGGTTGTCATAAAGTTTGAAGTAGATGGCTGAGTTGTCAAAGTAAGTGGCCAGTCCAGGGATATTTTATTTAAAAAATGCCTACCATAAAGAAATGCCACGCAGAGTAGCCCGCCGATACTAACCAAGTAGGTGGCGATTTTTGCTGGCAGCTGACTACTTTTGACAATGCTGAACTTTACCTTGGGTCAGAAATTCAGCTGTACACATGGTTGTTTATCTTTGAGTCTTTAGGGTCTACGTACATGTACTGTCACAGAAATTGTCTTCACAACTACAACTTTATTAACCAACTGCAGATCTAGAGGTTAAATTACAATGTACCTCACCTCCTCTGTTTATAATAAATAAACTGTTTAAGATAAATTTTAATACTTCAACAAAATGAAAATCCTTACTGTGTTTGGCTGACTGCATGGGAGGAGGGTCAAAGGCATGTAGGAAAACAACTCTGTCACCCTTTAAGTGAAGATGTGCAAGATACCCTGTTCAAAATAATGAATAGAAACTCTTATGATGCTGAAGAAAAGAAAGTCAAATGTGCATTGATGAAAATAGCAACTAATGAAATCATTGCTATACAAGTTAACTATTACTATAGATAAAAATCACATGTACAGGTATTATCATCATCAATTATTATTATTATTATTAAAGTTAATGAAAGCCAATTACTGTTGGCCTTTTCTTCCATACCATCTACTACCCAAAGAGATAGATGTTATACATGTACATGTAAGATTAAGGATGTCCAGCCATACAACTTTAATGAATTTTATACATGTAACTCAAAAGATTATACCATGTCATTTTTTCACATTTTGTTATAATTAATTAAGCTTCCTCTAAAGCAGTCCGAAATAGAGTGAGCTTTGTACCATGCTTACCATTGCGGGAAAATAAAAACCACAACCATATGACAGTACTTGTATGCCTGAGGGTGAACTTTAAAAAACGTTCGACCGGTTATATTATCAAAATAATATAGCTCTAATTAAGCCATTTTCAGACTGTGTTTGAAAAAATATTCAAAAAGCAACATCAATTCTTTATCCACACTAAAAGTTTAAATAAATGATAGTTAAAGAACTGTTACTGTTTAAAAATGGAAGTTTCCGTTTTATTATGATTATACAAACTACGTTAATGTAACCAATACATATAAATATTGAGGGATGAAATTTAACCATGTTTCTTAACAGGGCAGAATTTATGGACAGTACTTCAGAAACAGTAAATGTAGCTGGCGTTTTTTAAGTAAAATAACATGACAGCAAAAGATAATAATTCAAAATTTTTGTCATTTCATTCTAGTTAAAATTTTATTAGCCACAACTTTTATCAATATTATTATTGGTGATTAAAGGTGACATAATGAATGATTCTTTCAAAGGCTAAATTTTACTGCAGAGCGGTCTGCATTAATTGAAGTTTGAAAGTGAGTATACAGTGCTAACTTTTATTAAAAGTGCATTCCTCAAATTTTAATCTGCACATTTCTGGAATAGATATTTTTTATGTTTTTTGCAAGATGAAATTGGGAAATTAAAGCGTAATAACAGCACTTCTTTTGAGATACTGATTCACAACTAAGTCATAAAAGATGAAAACGTCCTCTAAAATACAAAGGCAGCCTACTATTCTTTGTGATGTCATATCATCAACTGACTTCAATCAAAGCAATATCACAATAATGGTATTTATTTCTTCTTTCAGCTGGTGTTCATAGAGTTCAATACTAAAATGATTTACGATATTCTGAATAAAATGATAAGGACATGATTATAGAGAAAGTAGTGATTATATTTAACTGCTATAACTTGACCTTATGAAAAAAATTTTTCACTTTCTATAAAATTAATGTACTATACTTAATATAATTTTATATTATTGCATTAAACGAATGGTAGTTTTAATTTTCGGTTAGAAACACTTCCTGCTGTTAGATGACAGGTGCAAAAAACTCTATAACTTTAAATCTCTGCAATAATATCATTACGGTACAAATACCAAATGCAATATTTAGGATGTTAATCTGCTGTGAGCTGTAAAATTACCACTATTGTTGAAAGTGAACAAAGAATATTTTCTACAGCTTAAATGAACCCCCAGCTACATATTGTCAAAGCCTCTTTGCTTGTAAACCATTGTCACCTTGAACATATTTTTGGCCGAGAATTCTATATTTATTTACATATCAACCCTTTTACTGTACAAATAAAATTTAAAAACGAGTCAATCGAAAAGAGCTTTATTATGACGAATGGAAAAGTACGCAAATATCAATTTGTGTTATAAGCTTTTAAAGCTTGTACAAGATGACATTGCACATTTTAATTCCCATTTTTCTTTTACTTTTCTCTAACTTACGAAAAAAATCTGGAGAGAAATGTGCCTTTTTGGTCAAGGTTTAAGCATGATTAGCTGATGTAATCATACAGAAACAGTGTAATTATTACAATGGTTATACAGAAATCAACGCCTATTCTAACACGTGTAGGTTATCGCATCCAACGAAGAGACAAACTTGTACACAAGTCAAGAAAAGTAAAAACAGATAACAACCTATTAGCCATATACATGTGGGGCACTATCATCCTGCACTGATCGGCACGTTGTTGTAACTTTGTCACAGATTACAAAACTAGGTTAATATAAATAAGCGTACAACATTCTCAGCTTTTATATCAGCGACCTTTCATTCACTATCAATATCACAAAATGTCTTATCAAGGTCAGATTCTTAGCTTGACTAAGCGTATATTATCTACAGCACTCTGATACAAGTTCACTCGATGATGTCAACAGAGCCACTGATGAATGGATGAACAGTCTGTGTGGCGAGGAAAATTGAACTTACCATGCACGCCACGCGCACATTGGTACAACTTGCACCACATAATATTAAATTTGAGGAAATACTTACAGTCCACTGCACGTTCACTGTTTTTACTTCCATCCACAGGAATTATTACAACATTACACGAAGACATTATGAATCGATGATTCTTGAATTCATAAGAGTGCGCGCATAATATTTCCGAAACTCCACTTCACGGTTGTCAACAACGAGAAGCACGCAATGCACATTGGCGGAGAAATATATCAACAATGTTGATTGGTCGAAGAATCTACAGCCAATCAAAATACGTGTAGTATTTACGATCGTGAAATCCTGCTGCAGTATTTGATCAGCGGGAGAGAGGTACAGCTTATTTTTCTACATTCCGTGAAAGTTTGAGAGAAACTTTGCTTTGATTGTATCGTTTTGCCCGTAAACAGATCATGTCTGAGACAAGGAAGATTTTGGTGGCGTTGGATGGTAGTAAGCATTCTGAATATGCTCTAAATTGTGAGTATTTTTTACACTTGTGTGGTTTGCCTTGGGGTGAAGGTGGGCGTGAATGTCGTGAATGCACCATCACGGGTACGCATAGCATCTACATCTACATGAAATAAATCTTAGCTTCCTTTACAGTAACTATAGGTTAAAGAATTTTAAACTAATTGCTGGTTAACGTAGTTTATTTTTCAGTAGCTTCTTGATTTTGTTTGATTTTTATAAGATCAATACTTCAACTATTTGCAATTCGTTCCGCCACTGCTAGTGCTAGCGTGTCATAATTCTGGCGTCGACTGCGGGGATTGGAAAGATCGACATCCCAGCCCAGATGGGTCTTCCATGTATTAAATAAATATCAGCGGTGAATCGTGTAGAATTAATGCTTAAGTTTAAGGCGCCAACTGTATGTACGAATAATTGAATGCATACATATCTAATTAATATTAGTGAGTTTACGCAACAGAACGGGAAAGAAAAGACGGGAAACCTTGTGTGACAAGCGTGACACCATTTTTGTTTCAGAAACTTTTCCGCCGAACTTCACCCTCCTTTAAACCGGTCTTTTTGTCAAAGACCAGAAAACATTAACTTAAGTGAAGATCACCGCAAAACACACAAGTAATAGACCTGTCACGTATCTCACACACAAGCATTTTGCCGTTCTCTTCTTTCTGCCGTCTTGTTGCGTAAACTCACTATTTTGCATACATGTACAGGCCTTTAACCTGATGGAGATCATGGGAGACAACAGAAGAATAATATATTAAGAATGAAGACGGAGCAATTGAACGAATATAGAATGAAAGTCAATACATTTAATAGTCTCTTGTGTCATGCTAAGCTCCTGAGATTGGTCTTTTGGAAGGATTGACTGGAGTATCGGAAGAAATTGCAATAAAATAAATAAAATAAAAACTACCAGAGTGATCAATTCACTTTTCATTTCTCTTTTCCTTTCTAATCATATTTAAGTTGTCACGCTTGACCAATTTTTCCTGTGAGCTGGTTGGCAAATAATATCTGCACAGAAACTGGACTCTGAACTTTTGGTCAGTTTAAGATAATTGAGCACTTTGGTAGTTTATTGGTTGGTGTTGCAGATGAGTGCGATCACAAAATGATGAAAATATACAAAAGATGAAAAGAACCTTAAACAATACCCAAATGACGACACGATAGCTAACCTACAATAGTTTCTGCTAAACCTTGAAACACCCATATATTTGGTTAAAAATCTATTCCATATCCATTAAAGCAAATTAAAAAACTTAGACTGCATCAGTTTTCACCTAAACATCTTAATGGAATTGGAACATCTGACTTGAGAAGGAAGTTTGTTCCAAAGGTTTGGGGCATCATAAAAGGTCCTGTACAGTTTGTTTTAACAAGATGATTACCTGTCTTTAAGACAAACATCTTTTGGGACCAACCTTGACAGTCTGTCATAGAGATGTGTCCGGTTTATGGAGTGTTGACATGACACTAGTAATGCCATATATTAGAACAAAAGAGGAACTAATTTACAATGAATATGCATTTGTTTTACTTGTGCAAAACAGTTAAAACTGGGATGATGTAATAATCATGATTATTAATCATGCTAGCTAGTGAAATATTTTCAGGCTGCTATATCCTTTTTAAGTTGCATCTTGCACAAATGGCAGGAAAGGAAATTGATAATTATTGTTTCATTGTACCCCGATGATGCTGGGGTATTTCCTTAACTTGATTTGGATTGGTAGACAAAGAACCACTTAACTAATGGGTGTGCTACCACAAAATCCTTATTTTGTTTTACTCATTCCTGGTGATTTTCTTAACAGGGTTTATAGAGAAGTGTCTTCGTCCTGGAGACGAGCTGATTGGATATAGTGCATGGCAGAGTCCTCATCTTCCTACTTTTAGTCTTAAATGTAAGAGCATAATATAAAGAACTAATAGGACTATATAGCACTTGTAAAGGTACCAGATTCAATATTAATGCCCCTATAAAATGCCAACCCTACTGGCACCTTACAACCAAAGCCTCTTTTTGTCTAAATTCTTAACTGAGGAAAAGAAATGGAGGATGCATTGATCAAGCCTTTAAAGTTGCTGCAGCCCATTCTGGACTAGTCAGTCTTGTTTTAGCTCTTGTCAAACTGGTTTTTCAAGTGCAAGCATCAGTTTATTGATATACGCATGGTTATATAACTGAGCCCAGTTGTAGCAAGAATACAACTATTGGACCGGTAGGGTACAAAATTGCTAAATTGCTTTACTGGATTCATGCGGAGTCTTTCTCAAGTACACAAAAACTGAGAAAGCGAAAGAAAGCTCTGCTGGCAGTCTGTCCTTCCAGATAAAGCACAAATCTCCTGGTCTTCAGTTCTTTTCATTAGAAAAAGGGCTGAAAGGTCATTCAGAGATGCAATAGAAACAAAGGTCATTGAGACACAATAGAAACTAATGAAAAAAGCTTAGTTTTAAGCTTAATGAATTTTTCAGATGACAAGCCGACCTTCAACATGCTTGGAAACGTATAAAAAGATAAAACTATGCACTGTGGTGAAACCTGAATTAACTTAATTTACATGGATTTGTAGACTTTCCGTGCATTACTCGTATCTTACCAAAGACTTGTCCCGCACTAAGCTGAGGTCAGATTTTTCTTTCATTTTCCTTCAGTGGTAAATAGATTTCTAGCAGGCAAAGTGAATCGAAAAGTCTTTCATCTAAGTATGTGTATACCTTGGGATACCAATTTGAACAAAATTTGTTCAAATTGGTATAATGTTGCATCACCTGCTTGTGCATTCACAAGATTACTGTGACATCAGATGAATTTTAAACTCGACACCAGGGTGCCTTTGCAGCAATGTACCATAAAGGCATCCTGAGAACTTGAACAGATTTTGGAAAAACCTTGCAATACATTTTATAACGTGCTGTTGACCACCCCACCAAGAATACGTCACTTTTGTTCGCCTGCATCCTAATGAAGTGTTGTTTATTATCCTTATAGCTCCTTTTCAGCCACCTACAGAAGAGTGGCAGAAAATTTTGAGTGATATCAGGAAGGGAATTGAAAAGGTTGATAACGACTTTAGCACAACGTGCCAGGGGAAAAAGGTTTGTCATTTTGATTGCAAGTTTAATTTAACATCTTATTGAGCAAGTGCGCAATACTGCTAACATTTCTCTTATATCAATTGATGCATTATTAGACAGTTGCTGCCATTCACATGAAAGTGAAACTTAGTATCCCGGACAGAACAAATAAAGGGTTAACTTTCTCCATTATATCAACCTCAGCAGAACTGGACTTCAGGGCTTTGATTGCCTCCATAAAATGTGTTGAGTAGGACTAATTCCTCCAAGGTCAAATTGGTTTCCATTACTTTCTTAAGAATAAAGTGACGGTTTCATTCCTTTTTGTTTCTATCCCATTGGGTGATTCCAGAAAATATCCATACTATACCACGGACGGCTTTTAGGATTTCCGAAGGGGAGGGGGGGTTCACGATTATGGAATTCTGAGGGCATGGGGGGTATTTACGATTGGAAATCCGAAGGCATGGGGGAATCCCACAGGCGGGATTTCTGGAGTAGAAAGTGTAGAGTGAGTTCCTTGAAAACGCTATTGTTGTGGACTTTTATAGTTTGTAAATAAACCACGAACGTTTGACCGCGGAAGCAGAAGACAAGCATCGATAGATCAGACACATGTTTATGCTCATAACTTATAGAGTAGGCTTGATTTCCGCCGTCTCCCGGGTCCGGTCTTTGATCCTCCCTGAAGAGAGACGGCTGGACGCGTGACCCGTTGACCTTGTCTGTGACGTAATTGGAAAATTGATAATTCAGGCGTCTTCGATGTCACTGGAAGTGAAACCGGTCTCCAATATTCTTATTTATTTGGCTCAAAATTGCATCAAGCGCTCCCTTACCCACCCAAATGACTTTCGAAATAGCTTTTACGGTACACTTTTCCATACATTGTGAAAAATATTCTCCGTTACATTTCTGTACACGGTGACACGTAGTTAATTTTCTTTGATCTTCGAATATTGGTTGCGTCTTCTGTGGGTCCGAACTGACTGATTCTCGGGAGCGGACCAAATTAAATGGAAAAGTTTCTGATTTACCGGACAGAATTTCCAGCGTATTGAATGTTCCTTTGTCAAATATAAACGTGGACGGTTACATCTGTAACGAACGCAGTTATCGAGACTTAAAGCGCCTTGAAAAGATCCTTGAAGATGCAAAATCTCTCCAACAACAATCATTAAAGGAAAAGTTCACAACAAACAATCGAACAAAACGTTGTGTTCCTTCCTACTCTAGAATTTCGTCTAGGGTCTCCAAGCTGTCGAAATCGCTTCGCCATGCGATGGATAAATTTTGTTGTGATAATTCTGCGACAATCTTTGCCAGACGAAAATCTGCAGGCGGTAACATGATTGGCTTAAACTAACAAAAGAAATCGCACGCGTCCAGCCGCTCTTTCGGGGGATGAGTGCGGGCTCATTTTCCCAAACAGCAGCTGGTAATCGAGCCTACTTATAGAGGTGAACAGTAAAATGTGGGTTTCACATTTACCTTGATTAATTTCTTGTCACATGAATAAAAGCTGAAAATGTATCTTACTGCTTGCAAATTGCAGTTTTACTCCCTAAAAAACTCTCACCAGTTCCTCGCTTCCAAGGAACGCAGGTCAGATTAGAACACTTTTCATGGACACTACATGACGTATAAAAGGACGTAACAAGACTCAACGGTATATTTGACCGCCGGAAGATTTCAACAGTCTGAATTTGAGCTATTTTGCTTTGTAAACGTCAAAACAGCACAAGAAAACAAAGAGGAGTAAAATTACCGTGAGTGGTGTTTATTTTAATAGCCAAATTTGGACTTAAAAAGGAGTTTGCACAGCCTGGCCACTAGCGGTAGGTTTTTCTTGTCGCTGAAGAGTAAAGCTTGTTGCCTGGCGCCGCTAGATCACAGCCGTGAGGAGGCATAAATTCATGTTCGTTTGTTCATATAGGTGTTGCTAAGTCGAAAATGTACTTCCAAAAAAAACTGGAAATTCTGAAGGGGAGTGGGGGTTCACGATTATGAAATTCTGAGGGCATGGGGGGGGCTAACGCATTTTGGAATTTCCGAAGGCAAGGGGGGGTTAAAATATGGAAGCCGTCCGTGGTTGGGTATGGATATTTTCTGGAATTGCCCATTTTAGTTAAATACCATTTTCTTAATTACTTAAAAACAAAATTTATATTTAATATAAATTTAATAGCTAAACAATTCTAGCAAGAAAAACAAACAAAAAAACCTGATTTTCATGATCTCTCTGAAAGAAATGCTTTGTGAAAGACACCTTCCCTTACTGTCAGTTGAGATGCAGACACTTCTATTCTTCCCTCCTTTTAATACATTAATTATTAATTTTTCATGGATGTTAACATTTTTCATGTGTGGAATTGAATGAAGATTAAAATATAAATCACGGAGTTATTTGGTGTGCAACCCTTCTTTTTTTCATTCAAATGTAGCAAAACATCAATCCTCAATATTTATATTGTTCTGTCCTGGGACGTACTAGAGATAATTTTTACCTGCCAAGTGTCATGCCTGCGGATCAAAAACTTCAATCTCACACCTACTCACGCCTGGTAGAAAAGTTCAAAAAATGTTATTCAGAGCAGGGCTGTCAAAAATTTTGAAGTAGCAGGCTGATAATAAACAGTAGGTGGCTTTGGAACTTGCACCAAAGGCACAAGTTCTTGAGGGCTGAGGCGTTTAGGGATGTTTTGAAATTTATAGAGTCACAGAAATGGCATTTCCAGGAGTTTTTGAGAGGCATTTTCCACTGCTGATGCCATGTTGTTTTGTCAGAATACACACATCACAGTGGGAACATTGCTGTTGAAATGTCCCAGGCGTTCCATGACATTACACAGTTCGAAGAATCGAACCTGTTTAAATATGCGCTCAATGTCATTCAAAACTGGGAAACAGATGCTTTACAATAATATTTGATGGTGCTTAATTTTTGTTGGCAGTTATGGTAGGAGGAGATGAAAGTAGTCGGCTAAGGATGGCTAACTAGCCAGCGGTTTTGGCCGACTACCAGCCCTTATTGACAGCCCTGTGAGAGGTCTCCAGCAGGGTTGTCATTAAGAGCCAGGCACCGGGGATAGTCCCCGGCTACTTTTATTGGAAAATAGAAGAAAAATAGAACCAAGAGAAATCCCTAGCCGTTTGATTCCCTGCCTACTTGTTGTATTTACCCGGCAACTTGAAATCTTAGTGACAACCCTGCTCCACATAACTCACTTATTTGTTGAAGAAGGCCAAAATAAAACCCCAACAAATTAATGACTTGGTATTGCTTTGTTACAGATTAAAAACAAATTCATTGATGAATCTATGAACCCTGGAGAAGGAATTTGTGCTGCTGCTAAAAAGGAAAATGTTGATATGGTAGTCATGGGAACAAGGGGATTAAGTCCCTTACGTCGCACTGTCTTGGGAAGTGTCAGTGATTACGTTTTGCATCATGCAAACCTCCCTGTAGCTGTGGTACCAATGCCAGAAGAGCAACCTGCAGAATGATCTGTAAAGGCTAATGTCTCACCACGTAGTTGTTCAAGCTTTCAATTACGTCACTTCTGATGATATAGTAAAATAGTAGTTAAATACAGGTACAGTCAACAAGTCAATAAGACAGTAATCAAATACTTCTTCCAGTGTGTGTAGAAAGCGTGGGGGGAGGGGACTCCCATATAAAAGTGACAAGAACACTCATTGGAAAATTAAGATTAAACCCCTATAAGGGAGATCAATGAGAGTGTGGCTTAAAGGAGAACATACTAAAACAGATGTAACGACATTTTTTTGTAAACTTCCCTATGCATGGCCCTAAGCAATACCTCAATGGGCAAATACAGTGACTTTCCATCCCTAACTTCCTAAATGAGACCAAAATCGGCAATTTACACAACAAAGCGAGATGACGAGCGTCCCCATCACTTTTATATGGGGGTGCCCCCCTCCCCTGCCGCCTGGGGTAGGCTACTAGTAATACTTAGACTCTCACTTCTGGATATGAATGAGGAGAAATTATTTATTGAAGGGGCTTTTGGAAAAAATCCTTGTCAACTCTTGATGTTGTTCAGTGCAAATTCTTTTTTTTTGCTCTTTAAGCAAACACTGAGAGGTTTATATTCAAAAGGAGAATCCCGTAGAATTAGCTTGGGCCTTTCTTTCTAGGTACCCCTTGAGCTGCTTAGAATGTAGGCAAAGATTTTAGTCACCTTTTGATAATTAAAAGCTCAGCTCAGGTTAAGGACATCTTTTAATGTATCTGTATGATTATAACTACTGCTGAATAATAGTAACAAATTTTATGTTACAGTTAGCAAAGCAGTAGTTGAGTAAACAAATACAGCAGTCCATTTTTGGTGCACTGCTTGAGCCTTAGAAGAGTTTTCAAAGAAATCTTTGCCTGTGACTTCTTCAATTTTGCCCTCTATGATGACAAACCAGTGAATTCTTTCTTGACTTACTTTCCCAGTGGAAAAGCTTAATAACAATATCAGACTTAACTGGAATTTCCTGTACGCATAGAAGACACATGCATGAGAATGTTTTGGGGGTTTATAAGTTAGTGATGTTGAAACTAAAACTCATTTTATCACTGAGTTAAATATTTTTTTCTGGAATGTATTGCTCCAGATTTACATGTAATACCCGTACTTCCCTGTTATGGGCCATTGGTTTGAGCCCACACCCCTCTGGAAATTCCAGTTAAGCTTTACACTTTCCTTGAAACATGTTGGCCTTGTTTCCATGGGAAACAAGGCCAGCGCCTTGCAATCCCTCACCCATGGGATGGGTATGGAAATTCCCTCACCCATGGGATGGGTATGGAAATTCTCTGGAACCACACAATGCAATATTACAACAAAGCAATATTAAAACCTCCTGGATTTTGATATGAATTTGCACACTTTTGTGGCAAAATTATCTGTTGAACCAATTTTTAGTAAATACGATTTAGAATTAGTTGCCATAGTTGTAAGCTGAAATGAATGCAACTTAAAAATTTTGTCACCACCAATAAAACTGCTTAGTTTGTATTCTACTTTTTTAGAACTGTTCAGAATAAAGAATGGTGATCAGTATAGTGCTTTTTAATTCTGTGCTGTCATTCTTTACAGAATTTACTTTGTGAGGACAGTGTCAGTCAAATGTTACTCTAGTGTCTGGTTTGGGGTGTGGAGAGTCTCTTTTCATTTGGCCTGAATGAGTAAATGCTGCTTAACAGTTGCAGTGGCAGATCCGGACCTTCAGATAAGAGGAGGCCCGGTCATCCAGACCCTGGGGGGGGATGCTGGTCTCCAAAAAAAAGTTTTTCAACTGTGCCACACCTTAAAGTTTTATCCGGAGCCGATTCGGCTCCTGGCTTTATACAAATCAGGTAAGAGCTGGGCACCCTGAAAAGCCTGTCCAAGGCTGCCTCATCCACAGACTTTCCCAGGGCTAAGTGGGGATTGGGGAACACGCGCGCACGACAAGCCGAGCGAGATAAGCGAGAAGTGCGCGAGAGAGATGACGGGGATGACTGGGGACAAGGCAGTGTCCAAGGCATTTAGAAAGTGGAAACAGCACAAGGTTTACTTGTTGAGGATTTGGTGGAAAATTCTGGCGCACAAGTGAGCTTAAAAGAGGGGTAGGAAGAACACGTTATCTCCTTTCTCCCGTTCTGCATTTCACGCCTCTCCTCTCTATCTGAATGTCTGGAACAGGCTAAGTGCGGAAGAGAAGCCGGGGACCCCCCCCATGGGGGGGGGGGTACTTCCTTATAATCTGTATAATAGCCTAACAGGGATATGCCTATGGATGGGGTCGCATTTTCACGACTGGATCGACTATAACCCCGGGGACGTTTCACAGGGGGTCGAACAAAATTTTCAATAGAGTTTAATACTCAAAGCGTTCTACATCATTTTTCGGATTTTTAACGGGGTAAAGTTAAAATTTAAATACTTTGACACGCTAGTTTATTTTATTTTATTTTATTTACGGTTACTGTTAGCAAACGTACCAGAATGTTCGTACTGTAGATGAAAAGTGTTGTTCATTAAATCTAAACTGGAGTCAATTCGTAAAAATAGGAAGAGACTAAGTTGGGATCGCAAAAATTACATATTTGCCCAAAAGTGACTAAGATGTGGGCTTTAAAACTGGCCTCTGAGAGGCCAGCGGCACATAACCAGCAAAAATTAACCCAAGTACCCTACCCTGCCGGGGGAGCCTCGTGGTTGGATAAGTTTGACGTTTGAGTGGAGCCTGGTACGAATATTCCCAGGCTCTCCCTTAACTCTCCCAGGTCAAGATGGCGGACGGAATTAATTTCTTGCCTTAATACATACATATGATGGCAACTAAAATCAAGCAATTTAACAGTAAGGAAGAGATGACGTGTCTTTTAACTTGAAGTCAAACAGGAGGTCACGAGAATTGCACAAGGTAGGAAAATCGATTGAGTAAGGATTAAATCAGCAACAGTACTCAGAAATGACTTTAATAATTTTTTTTAACGACGTTGGAGAAAAGTGTTAAGTTCAGAATTGAAAAATTTACTGCTAGAAATGCTCTTTTAAAATTTTGATTTCGAGTAAAGTAGCCCCAATAAACAGCATAACAGGTGACGGTCTTGAGAATCCAAAATGGTTGCCATTCTCTAAGCGACCATATTATAAACATCATTAAGATATTTTCTCAAAGATATGTTTGTTCGCTGATGATGCCTAAATTTACAGCACTATTAAATCAACTAATGAGGTGTCCATAGTTCTATCAGACATAATAGCACCACTTCATAATGAGAAAAGTGTTCAATTTGGTCACCCACCACGTCTCTTAAGGCTTAGAGCTGTGTAAAAATCTCAACTGAAGTCAAGATATAAATAACACTAAACTTCTACAGCAAAACCTGATCAGTTACCTTAAGCACGGTGTAACCACTTGAACTGTTTGATATTCGAACTTTATCAAACCGAATCAAACTTAATCAAATGACTGGGTTTGATTAAGTTTGGTCATTGAACACAATCTTACCAAAAAATTTATTTGCGTGACATTAGGTTTGAGTGTGTGAGACATAAAAGAATAACTATTTTCTCTATAACCTTCAAGGACTAAAAGAAGTTGCTCGGCAAATTGTTAACATTGTGACTTCACTAATCAATTAAAAAAAGTTTAACTACAACATTTTAGTAATAAATAACAAGAAATCTTGAACTGTTTTGAGACTCTTTTTCAGAAGTCACCACAAAAGGGAATTATTCCTTTTTTTCCTTCTTAAATTAAACAGATTTCAGAGAAGCCCTACAATGATTCACAAAGCACTACTATTTTCCAATGACCTAGACCATGCACTGTTTTGTGGCTTTGGAATTCTTGTTTCTGTTTATGCTCTTTATGTGGAGACCAGAAAACACAAAGATAGCAGATACAGGGCAGCATGTGATTTTGGTGAAAATATGAGTTGCTCTCGTGTGCTTACTTCAAGGTAAGTAAACTCAAAGTACTTTACAATCATTTTGAGTGCCTTCTTGATGTATTATGTTCAGATATCGTGGCTCTTGTATTGCAGTCTTTATTGGTAAGTGCAAAAATATACTGTTTCAGTCCTAACCCAGACAGCACGACCATAGCTTAGATAATGATGATAATGGTATGGGCCTAGTTGTTTGAAAGGTTGATAATGCTATCAACTGGATGAATCTCTATCCCTGGGATAACGCAGTTGGTTTCCCTACTACTTATCCACTAAATAATAGCGATTTATCTGTTGGATAATGTTATCCGATGTTGGAACAACAGGGACCTGGACAATATTTACTCTTAATTATATTTTGATTAAGGCATGAGCAAGGCTTGGCAGAGGGTTGTTGGCTACTCCAAAGTAAAATCTAACAATAGTTTTACTAGCAAAAGGAGTTTTTTCGAAAGTAATGTTGAACTCATACCCACTGTCATTCTTATCTGCCTGAGCAAATAATTGATAAAAGAAATGTCTTGCTTTAGCTCAATAGTTTGTTATAATTACTTTTAAATCCTATGTGTTTATCTTGTTTTGCTTTATAGCTACAGTAAAGGTTTTGGAGTGGTTGAGATCTTGCTTGGCAAGGAGCACTTTCTAAACATGCCAAACTGTATTTTGGGTATAATCTTCTACGCCATGCAGTTAATTCTTGGTGAGTAACAAGAGTTTCTGGTTTTCTCCTCAAAATATTCATGGCTTTCATAGTCTAGACATTTGCGGTCTTTAAGAATAATGTCAATGAGTTGAGCCACACCGAAATTGATCATTGAAGATGAAAATTTTTCATAAATTTCCTATCCCCTTGCATACTGGATCAGTCTGTCCTGGCAGGTCAACACCAAGTCTTATTATATTGCCACAATAGTACATGCTGTGATTCGCTGCTAAGCTAAATAGGCATAATTTTCTTGTAATGACCAGGCATTACGAGCTAGGTGTCCAAGGCATATACAATGTGTGTTTAATTTAATAGTGGACATCCTTATGGACATCGATGTTATGGTCAATTGACAGCTGTCAAAAAGGTACCACTGACCTATGTCACATGCCTGTATCACAGGCTCAAGTTTGCAACTCATTGAGGTGAAATGTTTTTTAAAGTTATCCGCTGACCAGTTATTGATTTTAATTGATCACAGGCTCAGGTCCATAATGAAAAGGCCATATAATAAAAAACTTATTAACCTTGTCTGTTGACTGCAAGCAGTCTCTTATTTTCCTTTTGAGTCACAGTAGATCGAGATCACAGTAGATTGCCCCAATCTCTCCTCCTTTTACCATTAATTCGCATAATTTCATTTTTTGGCTTGCCACATGTGGCTCTGAGGAAAGAAGGTCAACCACTTGCGGTCTACCTCGTTCGTTCAGCCATTACGGGGAAATCTCAGACCTTGGCCTGTAATGACCCCACTCTCTGTAAATAAGTGGTATATATTCCAGAATTTTCCATCTAAAGACTTTTTTTGGTTAATTTTCAGGTATGACATCCTTTGCTGGGGTTCCTGCTGTACTCTTTCTGACATCTATAATATCATGCATTGGATCAGCTTATCTCGCATTCATTCTCTTTTTTGTGTTGAAAGACCTCTGTTTGGTCTGCATCGCAACCTACGTAGTAAATGGTGTCTTGATGTACCTCAACTATCAGATATTCTTTCATTAATCGTTCAAATTAAGGAAGCAATTGTCAGGTTTTTTTTTCAAACTTTTCAACAAGCTCATCTGTAACAAGTAAAGAATGTAAGAGATGTTGAAGGGAGCCCCACCCTTTTCGTTACTTACGCTAAACAGCGAGAAGTGTCTAATTTTCCTTTTGAGTCACTCTGGATAGAGAGCGAGCACAAGGGCGGGGCCAGAGCGAAGAAAAAATAAGGGACTGTGATTGGGTCTTTGATCTGGCGATCTGCCACTTTTCACGCCTTTTTAATTGACATCCCCTCTCACTTTGACAATTGAGGTCAACACTTATTTCCATCTGCCAAACTGACGTTGACAGATTAATGATTCGTACACAAAGTAAGGGTTTGGTTAGGGTTAGGGTTAGGGTTGTTGCTATATATATTCAAATCAAACCATTCATTGTCAGCAAATCCTAGGTGATGTAGGGGTTAAAGTGATGCACTTCAGAGCCGATGCTCCGAAATCGAATCCTACTTGTACCATCCTGAATTTTTTTTCCCTAAAATTGAAGAGACTTAGACTTTTATGAACAGAAATTTCAAGAGACAGAGAAATTTCATGTAAGAAAAGTGAAATGTCTTTTGAGAGCCACTGAGAGGAACATGTCAGTTTGGCGGATGGAAACAAGTGACCCCCGCCGACCATTTCGCAGCCATTGTTTTTTCCCTCGGCCCCAGTCTCTTCTCCTTTTTACCATTAATTTGCATAATTTCACTTTTCCGCTCGCCGCGGGTGGCTCTGAGGAAAGGATTACGACTGTCTATACTTACTCCATCCCATTCCCCAGTTCACTGAAAACCTATCTTGGCTCTGGGGATCCTGTTCAACACCTATAACTACTGTATAACCGCCTTCTGGCTACTTCAGTTGGTTGAGCGTCGATCTGCCTAGCGGAATGGTGCGGGTTCGAACCTTGACTGATCCACAAGAACAGATGATCGCGTCATTGGGTAGTGACGTTAATCCTTTGGCCTTGTCTTCACCCCGGTCAAACGAGTGAAAAAAAATGAAAAATACACTTTATTTGAGTATCAATGTACTTAGCACGAAAGTACTAATTGAGGACGCTATTTTTACGTCTCCAATTAGAGACGGGACAGCCATTTTACTTGGTCATCCGAGCCACGCGAAGGTCTAGCTACTTGCGGTGCAAAGGGAGGTTTTTTACTGAGTATTGTTCGGCCCCGGGAATCGAACCTGCAACCTTCCGCTCAGCAGTAAAGCGTTCTACCGACTGAGCTAATCCTGCCGCGGTTAAAGATAACTATACTTTCATTATTCAAAATAGTTCAAAGCTAGATATTGTTAGATATTGATTTACAAACTTTTTGAAAAATTACAAACGAAAAAGTTGTAAGTGTTTGAAAACTGAAACTTGTATTATCGTCGCTCCCTGTTATTTGCCAGCAAAATTTTACGCGGGCGCATAGCATTTTTACCGGAGAAGAAGCTGAGCTTGATATTTTGAGAAAAATGACTGGCAAACGTTTATGGAACGAAAAAGATAGAAGACATATAAGTGTAAGACACACATAAAAGTAGAAGTTTTATAGAATAAGTAAAAGTAATAATAATAATAATAATAATAATAATAATAATCAATTATATTTAACGCGGGTAACACGGGACAATACTTCAACTGAATAACTAGTGGCCCTCAAACTAAAACTATAAAACAAAAATTAAGTAACCAAAAATACATATCGTTGAAGAAAAA